AAAAAAAAAAAAAAAAAAAAAAAAAACCAGAAAAAAGCAATCTACTCAGGCAACAGCTGGGGCAGCACAAGGCAAAAAGGTCAAGTATACACAACAGTCCCACATCACACATTTCCAATGAACAAAAGTATCAAAAAATTTTGTGAAAACTACAAAATTGAATTCTGAGACCCAAAGAAAGGAAGCTTATTTTTTAAAAAACATTTAAAAGCAACCAATGAAACAAACAAACAAAAACCACTAAGTCACATGGATCCAAAGACTGTGGGAAGGAAAACTGAGGTCAGAACAGTAAGAGGGCAGCCTCGTGTTAAGATACCATAAAATAACAATGGAATCTCCCTTTTGCAAATCGTTATCATTAGCTATAATGGGATGCTACTTGAGTCTGCACTGCTCTCAGACAGGGAGACTGAGCTAAAAGTACTAACTGGATGAGGTCTAAAATTGGGCTAATTATGGCTGGGCATGGTGGCTCATCCTTGTAATCCCAGCACTTTGGGAGGCCAAGATGGGAAGATCACCTGAGGTCAGGAGTTCAAGACCAGCATGGCCAACATGGCCAAACCACATCTCTACTAAAAATACAAATATTAGCTGGGCATGGTGGCGGGTGCTTCTAATCCCAGCTACTTGGGAGGCTGAGGCAGGAGAACAGCTTGAATCCAGGAGGTGGAGGCTGCAGTGAGTCAAGATTGTGCCTCTGTACTCTAGCCTGGGTGACAGAGTCTTCTCAAAAAATAAAATAAAATAAAATAAAATAATAAAATAAAATAGGACTAGGTAGTCTTAATAGAGTTCCATGAACTACTCACAGAACTACTACTACAGAGGGATTGATATTTCCATTCAGAGTATGAAAGGAAAAAGGCAAACTTCACAATTTACTCTAGAAACTTACAAACAGTATCCTAGAAGATAAACATCCTGAATTTGGGGAGAAAAATTTCTGGGGTATCTGAGGGGTTGTGTCCTCAAGGTCGTCTCTGGACTAAAGTCTAAAAGACAATTTTAATAGGTGTTATTTTGCCGGGCAGGAGACAAAATAAATGTGAACAAAATGAGAAACCACAAGACAAGGGAAGGGAAGAGAGGAGAGGGGCAAGGAACTAAAAATGAGAGCTGGGTGTGGTGGCACACATCTATAGCCCCAGCTACTTGAGAGACTGAGGCAAGAGGATGCTTGCAACCAGGAGTTAGAGGCCAGCCTGGGCAATATAGCAAGACCTCATCTCTAAATACAAAAACAAAACAAATCAGCCAGGCATGTAGGCTCAAAGCTGTAATACCAGCACTTTGGAAGGCTGAGGCAGGTGGATGGCCTATGGATGGCCTGAGTCCAAGAGTTCAAGACCAGCCATAGCAACATGTCTGGGGAGGTCTCAAAATCATGGTGGAAAGTGAAAGGCATGTCTTACATTTCAGCAAGCAAGAGAGAGAATGAGAATCAAGTGAAATGAGTTTCCCCTTATCAAACCATCAGATCTTGTGAGACTTATTCACTACCTTAAGAACAGTATGAGAGAAACTGTCCCCATGATTCAATTATCTCCCACCAGGTCCCTCCCACACCACATGGGAATTATGAGAGTACAATTCAAGATGAGATTTGGGTGGAGATACAGCCATACCATATCACCACATATTCAAGAAGCTCTAAGAATCTACAAAGAAAACCACACCTGGGTATAACACAGTCAAAACTATTGAATACTTGAGGAAAAAAAAATCAAAAAATAGCATGAGTTAAAAGACATATTATCTTCAAAGTAACAATAAGACTGAAGGCTGACTGTGATTTTAAAGGAGGAAAACAACAGACAAAAGGATGCTTTTTAATTCTGAAGAAAATAACTGCCATCCGAGAATTCTACATCCATCAAAAAATTATTCAAAAATAAAAGCTTGAAAATTCCACTTCCAGGATAACAGTACAAGGAATTCAGTGGATTCACTTCTTGTCAAACGAAGCGGGCAACAATTATTTAAAAAGAAAAAACAAACCCAACAACCATTTAAAGTCTCCAGAAATTGCCCTAAGGGAAAACAGCAAAGGAAAAATATTTATTCAAGAAACTCAACTAAAATTTGGTAAGAATAGAAGAGCAAAAAGGTTGTTTGTTTTGTTCTCTTCCTCTTCTCCTCCATCCTCTCTCTCACTTCCCTCTCTTCCCCAGACCAACCTCCTTCTTGGAAAGTTTGTGGCATATGAATCACAACCTGCTCTACCCCCTCCCTCACCCCCAGCTCAGTACAACAGATGGTCCACTCCAGTGATATGTGGCCAAGAAGGGGCTCCCTCTCCCCTCAGTTTCCAATGTAAGCTTACCATATCTCACCAGGCGGATAGGCCACCAGCCCTTTTCATCCCCTCCAACTCTAAGGGAAAGAGGTCAAATTCCAGTGAATGGGGCCAACAGGACAAGGGCTCCATTCCTCCATTCAGCCTCTTTCCAAGGACAGTGGCACAGCAGGCCAGGACTATTTAGGCCCTGACTGCTCTGGCCTGAGCTCACTCATAGGCAGAGGTTCCACAAGGTTCCATACATTGTTGCCCAAGGAAGTGCCCAAGGAAGTGTCTCATAAAGTTTGCCTAGGAGGAGAGGCAGTCCATAAGCAAATTCTGAAACTCTCCCTTAAAGCACTGACTTTATTTGAAACAGAGTGTAGGGGAGGTTCAAGTCTAGGGGAACTCTCAAAAATAGCTCTTTTAATTAACAAGAAACTAAACCACAGGTCAGCTGGTTTATCAGAGAGAACTAGGGAAAGAGACAGCTTCTGGAGTCAGAACTAACCTCAAAGACAGACTTTAAACAATATTTCTGCCCAAATTTAATTGGATCAGACTGCTGAGCAATTTATGACCTAGGACAGGAGTCCTCAACCCCCAGGCCATGGACTGGTATTGGTCTGTGGCCTGTTAGGAACTGGACTGCATAGCAGGAGGTGAGCATTGGGAGAGTGAGCATTACTTCCTGAGCTCTGCATCCTGTCAGATCAGCCTTTGCTCCTTTGGATCTCATAGGAGCAAAAAACCCTGCTGTGAATTGCACATGTAAGGGATCTTAGATTGTGTGTTCCTTCTGAAAACCTAATTATCTGATAATCTGAAGTTGAACAGATTCATCCCAGAATGATCCCTCCTCACCTAATCCATGGAAAAATTGTCTTCCATGAAATTGTTCCCTGGTGCCAAAAAGTTTGGGATCCACTGTCCTTAGGGCACTATCAAAAACACCAGAGCAATCTGCCTGTAATTAGAGGACCCTAATGGGAATGATATAATGCCATCTGAAGTAGATAACTTCACAGGCAGATCAGGAAAAGAGGCAGAGAGTTGTGCCAAAAATGTTATCATTGCAAGATGACAGTGAGTATGCTCGAGGCTCCATAATGTGAAGGAAATATATGTCACTGAAATAGTCTAAGTTATAAAACAAATAAACTAGCAAACAACAAAAGCAAGCTCTAGAGAAGGGGGAGGGGAACCAGTAACCAGAATTCCTACAATATATGACCAAAATGTCCCAGTTTAAAAAAAAAAAAAAAGTAGAAGACATGCAAATAAAACAATAAAATGTGACCCACAGGAAAAATGCATGAATACAAACTGCCTGTGAGAGAGACCAGAAGTCAGATTTAACAAAGCTCAAAGGAGCTGTGATAAATATGTTCAAAAAACTAAATGAACCACGATTAAAGAGGTAAAGGTAGGTATAAAGAGAATGTCTCACTGAATATACAATAACAATAATGACAAAATTTATTTAAAAAGCAACCAAATGGAAATCCTGGAGTTAACAAGTACAATAATCAAAATTAAAAATTAATTTGTGAGGCTCGACAATAGATTTGAATTGGCAGAACCATCAATAAACTTGAAGATAAACTGAGAGAAAAAAAATTTTTTTAAATGAATGGAGTCTTGGGCAAGTGTGGAATATCTTTAAACCCATCAATACACACACAATAGGAAAAGCAGGAGAGGAGACAGAGAATTGCAGAAGAAAATATTTGAATAACAGCCAATGGTCAAAGAACAGTGGAAGGAAAATATCTTGGACCCCCAAAATCACTAAGGAAAACTCAAGCTGGAAACTGCTTAGGGCAAACCTGCTTCCCATTCTATTCAAAATTCTCTCTCTGCTCACTGAGATAGATGCATATCTGACTACCTCCTTTGGAAAGGCTAATCAGAAACTCAAAAGAATGCAACTGTTTGTGTCTCACCTATCTGTGACCTGAAATCTCCCTCCCTACTTGAAGTCTTCCTTCCTTTGCTTCAAGTTGTCCCACCTTT